TACCTGGTGCTTGAGGCGTGCGGCATTGGCCGAACTCGTACTTGGGAAGCTGTTGACGTCATCAGCGGCATTGTAGTCTAGGCTAGATAGGATCTGCCATTTGTAGACTGGGTGCCGAGCGCCAGATAGGATATCAACATTGGTTCTTCGTTGATGATGATGAGACTATTCCAGCATTGTCAATTATGAGCTTTTGGTGTGCTCTTATTTGGTGAAACTCGTGATGCAATTCTGCTATTGGTTCGAGGTCACGACTATCTGGTCTCATGTGTATGATGCTGTTTGATTTCTGAAGTTCGCTATTGCTCATCTTCCTTGCAATTTGGTATCGGAGTTGTGGTTCGGTGCGCTAATCTGGCGCTTATCTTATGCCTAATGCGGTACATACATGCGGTGAGCGACCGTGCCGTGGGACGTGTGTAGTGAGGAGGGCGGCGATAAGAAGGCGACCCAGGTGGAGAGGGGTATCGCCAGAAAGGCTACGTGATGTATATTGGGTGTTCGCAGTGTGATGAGAACTATTCGATGTGTGATTGATGCTGAGGTGGAACGGTGGTGCAATGCTGGTTGTGCCGAAGCAGCGATTGGTCATCACAATCAACATCGGGTCATCTGGTGAGAATATCTGTGGTTGGGGGCAGCTATTTTGAGGTCCGTTGCACCTGACCTTATCTACCCTCTTCGACACTTCTTACCGTGAGGATGTGTGTTTTGTCTTGAGAGTCCTCTCATGTGAGGAGTCGTGTGCGCTCAACCTTGAGAGTCATCAGCCTTCACGTGGAGCATCTGGAAGGAGAGGGCGGTGCTATCTGAAGGGCCCTGGACGAAGCACCGGGTCACGGTCACCATGCCAACCCACCGGGAGTAGAGCACGCATGCTTTGCTGTCCTTTGTCTGCTCGCTGCACTGTAGAGGGGTTCTGAGGGTCAGGCCAGCCCTATGGGACAGACGAGACCGGGCGTCTATAAATAAGCACCGGCGGGGTACCTTCCATTGGCTGTGATTGTCGTCCTGTCTGCGACATTAAAGAATTCCTGAGGACTTCGGGGGCAGTCCATATAAACGCCTCCTGATCAGCCAATCGGTCGGTGTAAGGCTCGCTGCACGCGAGGATAAATACTGTGCAGGGCTGGCCAGCTCAGCAGGACTTGGGGCACAGGGGTGGGCCGTGTGCACACCTTTAGACACGCACGATGTCCGGATTGCTCAGGGACGTTGACGACAAGAGACATTCAGGAAGAACTGAGGGAGGGGTAGATTCCAGGTGATAAGTTTGGGCAAGATTCCACTCGGCAAACAGACCCAACAAACGATTCTATTTTTATTTTTTGATTAGTTAGATGCACAACCATTGACATCTGACAGACAACATAGTTTAGACCTGTTCTTTGTTCATTGTGCTTTCTGTTTGCGAACTAGTCAAAGTCAAAGTAATTCGTTTGTAGGAATCTGAACTTACCTGTTGGACCCGAATGTATAGTCTCTGACATAGCCGCCGATTATTTATTTTATTATAAATCGGTATGTACATCATGTTGCGGTAGGTATCAAGAGTGTCCTAGTGCAGGCATTGTACAGTGTTGTAGCCTATGAGCGACAGGGAGGTCCTACAACCGGACGACATGATCTTGCGATCGGCTAGACGCCCGGTAGCCCACTTGGCCTTAGGACTAGACGGTGACAAGTTACTGTGCCACCAACTTAGGGAGAGGCAGCAGCAGCAGAGGAGAGCTAGGGCCGCAGAGGCCAGCATAGCGTTTGCGAGCAAAGCCGCAGCTTCAACAGCCATGGCAACTTCTGCGCAGCAGGGTTCAGGCCAGAAGTTCAGGAACCGTAGGGTCAACCGTCGCACAGACCATTAGTCAGTCCACTGGCGTCATGGCAAGCCAGCCGTTAGTGATGACTCCCGAGGAGGTCGCCATACAGCGAGCTGCTGATCGCGAGGCACAACTACAGCAGGCTTTAGGAGAGATTAAGGCATAAAAAGAAAGAACGATTAGATGAAGAGCCAGGTTGCAGCGGAGACAAGCAGACATTAGCGAGTTAGAGGAGATGGACCCAGCAGAGTTGGGTGATGAAGTGAGGACCCAGAGGTCGGTCTTGCTAGGTATAGTAGAGATGCAAGATCACCAAACGACGATCTTATAGGACATCCAGCAGAGTCTGGCCAAGTTGGTCGGGCGAGCGCAGGCGGCACCATCGCTGTCCGGGCCCGGTGTCTGGCCCGTTGTACATCCTCCTCCTTTTGTCCCACCGGTGACTGGGGTATCCCCATATACCGCTCCAGCATCGGTTCAACTCGTTTCCCTGGTATGCCCTTAACAGGCGGGTTCTCAGCAGGTCCTAGTGTACGGATTCCTGTACAGACAGTGTTCTCCCAATCCGTCGCAGGTTGCCGTAAGCGGGCAATCTGCTGTCTCACAACCTGCACAGCCGCAGGGTACACAGCCCCAGCAACCAGGCACCACAGGGTCCACAGCCCGGATTGATGCAGGGACCGGGACAAAGTCAGCGGGTTCCAAAGACGGGCATCGCCGCTCCTAAACCCTTTACAGGGGATAAGAGGGACGAAGACCTCGACACATGGTTGAGGGCAGTGCCAGTCGATGTCAAGTGCAAACTTACCTTGCCGCACGAGGAAGTGTTTGTGGCTGCCTCCTATCTAGAGGGGAGTGCAGCAAGATGGTTGAGTGGTTTAGTCCAACTACAGGGGTACAATCATGACTTTCACGCTTGGGCGGTCACCCAGAAATTGAATGACTTTCTCAAGTTGGTTGAAGACAGGTGGCATGATCCTCAGGAGGCCCAAAAGGCTACTGATGCGATCCTGACACTGCATACCAGGCAATTTAAGTCAGCAAGAGAGGCCACTGATGCAGTGGAGCGTCTAATCTGTGTCCCTGGGGTGCTTTCCCATGCCTCTCAAGAATCAGTTGGCAGGTGAGGCCAACATCAACATGCACAACTTCCCCTCGTTTAGCAAGAAGGCCCTAGGCCTGGAAGCAAAGATAGGGCATGGTCAAACACCCACGACGGATGGTAGGAAAAAGTCACTGCCTCCCAATTGGAAAGCGAAGGGACGCATCATGTTCGTCGACAACGATGGTTCCACCATCGAGGTGGATGACGACTTCCAGGCGAGAGTGGGTTCAGAGGCTAGCAGCGTAGAGAGTAGTCGCTAGCTCAAAAAGGTAAGGCGACCGGTAGACACCGTGGAGGTTCTCAATCTAGGAGTCAAGTTGACCCCAATGCTCCTCCATGGGAGAAAGCGGGTCTCAGTGAGGACGTGTGGAGAGATCGGTACACACGGCAGGCTTGTATCCGTCGTGACCAATACAGCCATAACCAGTTCAAGTGTCGAAATAAGAAGGTGACCGAAAAGATCCCGCCTACGATGGGGCAGGTGTTGGGATCCTCTGCTCCCGTTGGTAGCAATGTGGCCAGCAGTTCTGGCACTGCTCCGGGAAACGCGTCGGGCCAGTAGGAATAGTAGCTGCTCCTGCTAGGGTCGAGGTGGTGGACACACCCTCACCATCTCGAGAGATGGCCCAAGCTACTAACTCCATAGTCGTCCTGCAAACACATTCTGACCCATCGAGCCTCTGTTCGATGAATGTGTTTGAATCCTTAGAGGAGCTAGAGGCGGAGTGGTCTAGATCAGACCCACTAGCTTCTTGGACGACATTGGCTAAAGCCCCTAAGGGAGAGATGTTCGTCGGCGAGGTAGTCATCGGCGGCCGCAAGGCCGGGGCCTATTATGACACTTGCTTGACAAGGAACTTCATCAGTCGCGCGTGCGTTGAGAGGCTGCGCTTACCGGGGCAAGTGCAGCGCCTGAGTCGACCTGTGGAGTCGACATGTGCCAACAAACAGCGCATGGTAGTTAATGACTACCTCTAGAATGTTGAGTGTTGTTTCCCATACGTGGGAGGGGAACTGAGACATCGCGTCTCGTTCCTAGTGAGCGATGATCTCCTTATGGATATCTTGTTAGGTATGTACTACCTCTCCGTTGCACAACCCCAGTTTGACTGGGACCGAAAAGTGGTCAAACACACTTTGCCAGGTGGGGGGACCGCCAAATTACGTAAGTTCAAAGCTAGTAGTCTGATTGAGTCCTACGGATGCATGTGTGCGGCCGCGTTTTATAATTATTATAAGCAAAATCCGGAGGGGGGTATGTATCTGGTTTATGTCTTTGCAGCAGGCGAACCGGTGAAAATGCCACCGGAGATAGAGGGAGTAGTTGCCAAGTACCCTGATCTATGTGAAGAGCCTACAGGGGTTGTTGAGAGGGAGGTCGTCCACATGATAGAGATTATTATCCTAGGGTCTAGCATCCCAAAGGGTAGGATCTATCGGATGTCTCCAGGCGAGCTTGATGAGCTTCGCCGCCAACTCAAGGAACTCGTAGAGAAGGGTTGGATCCGGCCGAGTGTCTCTCCTTATGGTTCTCCAGTCTTATTTGTACCAAAGAAGGGAGGCACTCTGAGGATGTGCATTGACTATAGCGGCCTCAAAACCGAGAGCCCCTACCGCGCATTGACAACTTGTTAGATCGAGTGCAAGGGTGCCGGTACTTCAGTAAGACAGATCTGAAGTCTGGGTACCATCAGATTGCTATACGGCCCGAGGATCAACACAAAACCGCATTTCAGACCAGGTACGGTTTGTACAAGTTTGTAGTGATGCCTTTCGGCCTTTGAAATGCTCCTGGCACGTTTCAGCACGTGATGAATTGGATCTTTCATGACTACTTGGACAAGTTTGTCATCGTGTACCTCGATGACATACTTATCTTTAGTAGGATTGTCGAAGAGCACGTAGCTCATTTGGACAAAGTCCTTAGTCTCCTTCGACAGCACAAGTTCAAGATCAACGGTGACAAGTGTGAGTTTGACCGCACCCGTATCTTGTACTTGGGTCATGAGATATCCGCGGAGGGATTGAAGCCCGATGACGCGAAGGTGGCCAGCATTTGTAACTGGCTGCGTCCTCAGTCTGTGACTGAGATGAGGTCTTTCTTAGGGATGACCGGCTACTGCCGTAACTTTGTTAAGAACTATAGTATGGTGGCCGCCCCTTTGACTGACCTGACCCGCCTTGACACCCCATGGGAGTGGACAGACAGATGTGAGGCTGCTTTCAAACATCTGAAGCATGCGTTGACGCATCATAAGGTCTTGAAACTTCCCGATCTTGACAAGCCGTTCATAGTAACCACGGATGCCAGCCAATATGGCATTGGTGTCGTGCTAGCGCAGCAGGAGGGGCCAAAGTTGAGGCCAGTCGAGTACATGTCCAAAAAGATGCCCTCTCAGAAGTTGGCTAAGTCCACCTATGAGAAGGAGCTCTACGCGATTTACAAGGCACTGACCCATTGGAGACATTATCTCCTTGGGAGGTTCTTCATCGTCAGGACTGATCATCAGACCCTGAAGCGGATGAGAACTCAGCCCGTGCTCTCTGATGCCTTGAAGCGCTAGATCGAAGTCATTGAACAGTATGACTTCGAACCCCAGTATTTGAAAGGGGAGTACAACTAAGTTGCTGATGCTTTATCACGTAGGCCTTACTTCTCTGGTGCGCTGATCACTGAGTTCGGGCTTGCGGACGATGTCACTCCTTCTATGGGGGAAGTCTATCGCGAGGATCCGTTTATGTATGAGATCATTCGCAGACTCGAGGTGACGGACGAAGTGACTTATGCCGAGTTTGAGTTGGTCAACGGCTTGCTGTTCCCTGAGAAGGCTGGGAATAAACGTTTGTGTGTGCCTAATAGAGAGTCTTTGCGCAGTTTATTTTTAGGAGAGTGTCATGACGCCACCAGCCATTTTGGTTTCAAGAAGACTGCAGCCAATTTGTTGCAGCGGTTCTGGTGGCCCACGATGATGAGAGACGCGAAGCTGTACGTGGAAACTTGTCAAGTCTGTCAAAGGGACAAGCCATGTACACAGACTACTCTTGGGCTTTTGAAGCCCCTTCCGATTCCGGAAAGGCCTAGTGAAAGTCTGTCCATGGACACTATGGATACGCTGGTCACCAGCAAGAGTGGAATACGCTACGTCTATGTCATTGTGGATAGGTTTAGTAAGTACGCTAGGTTAGTCACAATGCCTACGACAACTAAAACTGAGTATGTGGTCAAGCTGTTCAAAGAGAACTGGGTCAAAGATTTCGGACTGCCTAAGTCTATAATCAGTGACTGGGATGTGCAATTCACCAGTGAACTGTGGAAAGCTGCAGCTGCAGAACAGGGAACGCAGTTGCAAATGACATCAGGCAATCACCAAGAGGCGAATGGGCAGACAGAGCAGTTGAACCGCGCTGTACAACACTTGCTGAGGCATTACATCAAACCAAATCAGGTAGACTGGGATGAGAAACTCGCTCTGATCTCCAGCCTGTACAACAACGCTGTGCACAACGCTATGGGAGTGAGCCCGAACAGCCTGCTCCTGACTTTCAAGCCTAGACTACCTTTGGACTTCCTACTACCTGAGAATCAGCCAACCGCTGCACCAGGGACCTTGGATTTTGCTTATCGGTATAAGCACCTGATGCAGCAGGCCATTGAGCAAATGCATAAAGCCCAGGCGGCGATGATAGAATCAGAGAACAAACACCGTCGCCCATCTACATTCCAGGTAGGAGAAAGAGTCTGGGTTAAGTCCTCAGAACTGGGACAGGAGCATGGGATCTCCCGCAAGCTCATGCCACAGTACCATGGAAGGTTCAAGATGTCGTTGGGGACGAACCGGATGGTCCTTCTTATGTTATTCGCATCCCTGGTCACTTACTCACTTACCCTAATTTCCACGCCTCCAAGCTTGCACCTTTTGAAGAAACAGATCAGTTTCCCTCTCGCCGCTCGATGCTGCCCCCAACCATGGATGGAGAGGTCGACATCGATGACATTGTTGATCATTGGGAAATGCCAGTTCCAAGACCGACAGGCAGGGGACGTCCTCCGAAACCGAAGCTGCAGTACAGGGTTCGGTTCAGACATCACACTGATCCGAAGGACCGATGGTTTACAACAGAGGAACTGATGCAGACCGCTCCTCAGGCTGTAGCCCAATATGAAAAGTCTTTGCAGAAGGGAAAGCGCCATATTATCGAAGACTGAACTTCTCAGAGGACTAGCGAAGTATGGAGGAGGGAATGCGAGGCACAAGGCCTCACTAAGCCCTACCGGGCCCCTATTTGCAACAGTTCGGCCACCCTAAGTGAAGGCAGGCTCGACAGACGACAAGAGGCCTATTTTGGACTACTTCGCAACTGGGGTAAAAATTCAGGCAGTTATGCAGCACCGGTGGGTTGAAGGCGCCCAGGCCCTGGCCTCCTTTAACAAATGTATCTAAGTCAGGCCCTGGGCAAGATATGCAGCATGGACCCAACTCAGACTGTGGGCAGTTGGGCACGGGTAACTGTCGGTGGCCCTGGGCCTGATTCGTTTGGACTGAAGCTCAGCCTCCCTGGGCCAACCGGAAGCTTCTAGGCCGGGGCCCGGTACCGCAGCACAGCACGCAGCAGCAGGCCACTTCGATATAGGGAAGGGCCTGCCCACCAACTGGACATTCGGGCACTGGCTGCATTGTGCGCAAGCGCTGCTGCGCTATCGCTGGCCAGCGCTCGCGCGCTCACGGGCGAGCTGGGAGGAGCAGGCAGCCATAGCCGAGCTGCGCTGCTGTATGCTGGATGGGGCGCATGGTGGTCCTTGGGTGCATGAGGCATCTGTGAGTTGAGGAACGACGTTGTGAGTGATACGAGAGACATACCTGGTGCTTGAGGCGTGCGGCATTGGCCGAGATCTGCTCGTACTTGGGTCTTGGGAAGTTGTTGACGTCATCAGCGGCATTGTAGTCTAGGCTAGATAGGATCTGCCATTTGTAGTCTGGGCGCCGAGCGCCAGATAGGATATCAACATTGGTTATCCATTGATGATGATGAGACTATTCCAGCATTGTCAATTATGAGCTTTTGGTGTGCTCTTATTTGGTGAAACTCGTGATGCAATTCTGCTATTGGTTCGAGGTCACGACTATCTGGTCTCCTGTGTATGATGCTGTTTGGTTTCTGAAGTTCGCTATTGCTCATCTTCCTTGCAAATAGATATAAATTAAAAAACTA